CTAAAAAATTAAAATAATTAAAAAAATAAAAGAAATAAATTAATTTTTTTTAATTTAAAATTAAATTATTTTTTTTTTTTTTTTTTTTTTTTTTTGGTATTTTCCCCAAATATTTTAGTTTGGAAGACTTGCGAGTAAAACTGGAGGAGGAAGGTTTTTCTAATATTTCTTATGTTATTGTTAATCATCAAGGAATCTCTTCTCGATTAAAATATACGCATCTTAAAAATAAGGTTTCAGAGCATATTTCTGTTTATCAACAAGAAGAAACCCAAACAGATGTCTGGACTCTCTTAAATGGAAACAAAGATGACTTCCTCATATATGACAGGTGTGTACACGCATGCACACACACACACCATAAAATAAAAGATAACTGTATTTAATAGAGAGCGATTTAAGATAAGATATTTGCTTTTATTTTATTACCAAATACTCAGTTTCAAAGTGAGCCCATTAAAATGTTTGGTTTTCATATTTTTGAAGTGATTTTCTTTCACATAAAAGAATTTACCATTCCAGTAGGGAAATAAAGAAAAGTGACTATACTTTCCCCCCCTGTAAATTGGCTTTCTGGTTAAACAAAAAGAAGAATCAATTTGTGTATCACATACAATTCTAACCTAAGAATTCTGCAGATGAATAACCACACTTTGCTAACCATTTGCTTATCTCTAATCTAATTAATAATTTTAATGCTACATACCTAAATTTCTTAACTATAAAGTATATTAATTATTTAGATATAACCAGCACAAATCTACCTTTGATTCCATGAACAAATAAAACATTTGTATTTTGAGGGAACCTGAGTGCATATATTCGTTGATATTATTAACATTCCTAGTTGGTGCTCTGTTTCTTTTTGGCTCTTCAGAGATGGTGAGCTAGACACTGCTTAGGCCTAGGCCCTCTTGTTCTTACTCTAAATAATTTTTAATATTGTAAGTCATTCTTTTAGAACCACAAACTTCTAATTTAGTCAGTTGCAAAGTATGATCCTTTGATATTCACATAAAATCATATACACTGGGTAAAATGTGGGCAAGAAGGACATTTCAATTCTACCATTTTTGAGAATGCCAACTGTTATAATTCAACATTGTTGCGTCAGATATATTTTTAAGTAAATGGGCTACTGGCCAAGACTCTAAGATTTTTTCGTTATGCTGTGATCTTATTCTATGTAATTTGTGCTGCCTTAGCAGTTATGAAAAACTCATGTGATTTGCAGAGCCTAATGTACGATAAGTCAGTGGTTTGGGCATTGGTAGAATTTTTAAGTCAATTACAAAATTGTATTTGACTTAGTCACACTGACTATACTACACAGTTTTGATATGCTTTATAGCGATCTATCTATAACACATAAAAATGCTAGGATTAGACTCACTGTAGTCTTGCTATGGCCACCTGACCTGGTATGCAAGGCCAAGGAGCTTGTTTGAGACCCCACTGAAGAAATTTTACTGAACACATGAAAGTGTCTTAGTTGTAAGACCATTAAATCTATATAATACTATTCTAGACCGTGCTCGAGTAGCATCATGACACAGAAAATATCGTAATGACAGACATTGTATTTGTCCTTTTTTTTTTAGATGTGGCCGTCTTGTATATCACCTTGGTTTGCCTTTTTCTAGCTTAAGTTTCTTATATGTAGAAGAAGCCATTAAGATTGCTTACTGTGAAGACAAATGTGGAAACTGCTCTCTCACGGTATTTTTCTCAATTATTTTTACTGGGAGAAAAGAGGAAATCTTTCAAGAGTTATCTAAATAAGTTAGTGCTTCATGACCAATTAGCTAGTCCATGTTTCTGATGGTATACTAAAAATAAACGACAGTATTTTTTTTTAATTATACATACTTCCAGTTATGTAACATACACTTTTAGTTTAAAACATCTTTTCAAGATCCATATTGATACTTTTATCTAGAAAGATTTTAGAAAACAAAAAACAACATTGATCACATATTTCTGTTACTGCCAAATGACGTGATGTGAGTATAAGTGCTCAGAGAACTCTGCCAACATAAAATAACATTAGTGTGATATCCTGAGCGTGGTTCGCACGAGAGCATAACCGGATAACTACTTAATTTATCAAGGAAGCAAGACTGTCAGCTTTTCCATGAATACTTTACACCGTCTGCCCATTCTGCAGTTGGATTACTGCATTTACTTCAAAATGGAATAGATTTTCTACTCATTACTGATATTTCTTTCCTAATAAACACGAGAATATTTCTTCCTTGTAATAAGAAAGCACTATATTTAAATATTGTTTATAAAAAAGGTACTCAAGGAATTTTAATTTTTATTAACTAGACTTTTCTCCTTTCACATTGAGGAGGAAAATAATTCCAAACAATGTTTACTGGATAGGGTAGATTGGCAAAATTTAAACTCAGGTTTAAAAACAATTCTGAATTTTATTTGTAAGCTATACTTCCTTCAGATTTTTCCCAGCTCTAAAAAAAGGCTTCTCAAATTTTAACGAATCATTTAATTAATTTAGTTGCTAAGGAGCACAACAGGTTGGTTACTTTAGTTATGTCATTTTTCACATTTTAATCTTCACAATAATCCTATGAGGGTTATTTTACTCTTTTTTTTAAAAATGGGGAGACTGAGATAATGCAAATAAAGTATTAACTCAATGTCTAACTTTTACCAAGTGCTTAATCAATGCTAGGTATATTGATTACTCGTATTTTGGGATTATTTCAGTATTTTTCATTTTTGCAAAAGCCTAATAGTTATAAATATGTGTAGTTATCTTGAAATAAAGGCAGTAACGATTCCTACAATATGCTCAAATCACCTGTAGAAAAGAATAATGTACCATATGTATCTGATATGCCAAATAAAATTGGAGTTTTTCTATTTTATTGTACCCTGGATGCCATCAATTATATGACACATTATTTTATGCACTATTAAAAAATGCTGTTGGTTAAAGTAGGACACAAGGCTACAACGCCATCAATAGTAGGATGTATTCTGATTTTAAAGATATTAAAATGTGAAAAAAATACATAGTAGAATCAATAAAATATGGTAATTGGTTTCTTGAAACTAATTATACTACTATAATTGTGTTTGTTTAATCATTGAACATTTAGAATATTACACAGCATATTCTAAACATTTATCAAATTGTGTTTAAGTTTTTAATTAAATACTATTAAGTTCTTAAAAGTAATTTAATAATAACCAAAAAAATGTACCACCTAGTAGTTGTATGGTAAAATCCAATAGAATTTATAACTGTCTAAAACCTTCAAAACACCAAACCAAACAACTTTCTTCTCTCAAGTTGATTTTGTAACTTTATTTACAAGTAACTTTAGGTTGAGGTTTCATATTACATTGCTATATCCATAAGCCTTGAGCTATAATTTATGGGCATACAAAACAATCAAGACTTTCAGCAAATTAAAACACTAAATTCACGTGGAATGGAATATGCTCAATGGAAAATGGGCAGCCATTTGCTATTTTCACTTGACAGCACTACAGTAGGGACACATTGACAAAGCTTTGGTGAAGTTTGACACATTTCCTGGCATAAGCTGGGATATGGAAAACTACTGATTTTGAGCAGTTTATTGGCTTTTTTTTTGAATTACCAGAAAGAAATTAGTTTGCCTCAACATAGTATTAGATATGATGCATTGTTGACACAGGTACAAAAGGTTCCATGTAGGTCAACTGATTTTTAGGATTTGGTGTTTGGTTGACTTTATTGCAATTGATTTAAGTTTTTTTTCACCAGTTTATTTAGTTTTGCTTCTGATGATGATATAAATACAGTGGTTTGACTTTCTTTTTAAACCTTATGTATCTCTCCTCTCAAGTTCTGAATTCTTGAAAATTTAGGAAATGCTTTTCATAAGAAAAGGAAAATTTGAATTCTGTTGATTTAACTAGTATAGAATATTAATATTAATTTGTAAGATGCTTGAGGATTCTTTAAGTGCAAATATGCACTAGCAGCACTTTATAATTAGGTATAGATGGGGATCAAACTTTAATAAAAAGTCTAGGTGTTGAGATTAACATCTGATTCTTTTCTCATTAGTACGATGCTAGAAAAACAAAGCCGGTTTAATCCTAATTAATGAGTTGGTATTAAACACTACAAATCATTTTTCATAGATTCCTGCTAAATCTATAAATGTGTTGATAAGTGATTTACAAATTTGTTCCAGACCCTGGAAGATGAAGGCATCTGTAAAAATGTATCTTTGGTTACTGTGGAACAAACAACCGAGACTCCACAGCCACATCATCATCACCATCGCCATCGCCATCGCCATCACCATCACGTTCACCAGCATCATCACAAGCATGAGCATCAGCACATTAGGAATGGCCAGCTTTCAGAGAATAAGCAACCAGAAGCACTAAGTGCACCTGAGCATCCCCCTCCCCTAGGCCTTCATAACCACCATAAGCTCAAGGACCCACAAATACATGGTAATTCAAACGACTGCTATACGCCAGAAAGTGAAAATTTGCAACTATCTCTTTCACAAAAGAAACTCTGTGGAGCTTTCTTGCGGAGATTAAAAATAAAGGTTGAAGGAAAGAAATTATTTCCACCAAAAGGCTGGATTCATATCTGTATCTTAAAAGCGATTCCAAGATTATCGCCCAAACCAACCTGAGCTTCTTTTGCCATTATTATTCAGATGAGGACTTGAATAAGCAGAATTTGTCTCAGTGAGGAAACGGCCTGGAGCGTGGCCTAGGTGAGGCTGAGTGGACTGGTTCTGCTCATATTTAAACAATGGCTCACGAAGGAGGCTTCATCTCTGTAATCCAAGCATCTGCCACATTTCAGCCTAATCCTGTGTACTCAGCATCGTGTAATCAATTAGGTCTAATGAAACCTGCTGAGCACTGGCCCGGGAGGCAAAGGTGGAGGAGAGATACCTCTGTCCGACGTCTCCAGTCTAGTGGAGAGAGTTTTGGCCTCTATCACGTGGTGGTGGGGAGTCTGTCTTTTGTTTTTGTGATCATCATCACCATCGCCATCGCCATCGCCATCACCATCACGTTCACCAGCATCATCACAAGCATGAGCATCAGCACATTAGGAATGGCCAGCTTTCAGAGAATAAGCAACCAGAAGCACTAAGTGCACCTGAGCATCCCCCTCCCCTAGGCCTTCATAACCACCATAAGCTCAAGGACCCACAAATACATGGTAATTCAAACGACTGCTATACGCCAGAAAGTGAAAATTTGCAACTATCTCTTTCACAAAAGAAACTCTGTGGAAAGAGATGTATAAATCCATTACTCTGTAAGTTGCTCAAAGATTCAAAGTTGGCTCCTAGTAGCTGCTGCTGCCATTGTCGACATCTGATATTTGAAAAAACAGGGCCTGCAATCACCTGACAGTGTAAAGAAAAACTCCCCTCCTTATGTAGCTGACAGGGGCTTTGGGCAGAGGAGAATGTCATTGAATCTTGACAGTGACGTTTGCCTCCAGCTGCCTGACAGGCAAGTCAGCAGCTCGAGCCCACAGAAGCCCGCACCAATTGAAGCTGAAAAAATAAGGCAAAAATATGAAAATGATCTTCAAATTAAATATTTAAAATAAGAAGTATTCCCCAAGTCAATCTAGACACAATTTCATTTCCAGCATTTTTATAAGCTGCCTGATTAAAATAACCAAAAAATAGGAATTGGATTTGTGCAAATATGGAGAAATCTACATACTGGCTTCCAAATTTTAAAATTTATTTCAAAGAAAAATTTGACCCAAACCATTTTTTTTTAAATTATAAAGCAACTGATAGGTGATTGCAGCATTTGGTTAATATGTCTTTTTTTTTTCTTTTTCCAGCATTCTACTTGCATTAATGAGAACAGGAACATAAACTATGACCTAGGGGTTTCTGTTGGATAGTTAGCAATTTAGAACGGAGGAAGAACAACAAAGACACATTTTCCATTTTTTTCTTTACTTATTTCTCAAAACAATATTATCTTTGTCTTTTTAACCTTAGTTTCAACTGATTAAACCTTTAAAGAAGTGAATTTTGTCTTTTAAGATCTAGAAGTAGTTAACATGAGTATTTTACTATGACTACATTTTAAATATTCATTTATACTTTTTTATATCTAAGACTCATATCTTGATTTTTATTATCACATATGAATGAAGCCTTTACATACTGTTTTCTCTACCTAGCATTGTATCACACTTTTTAAAATTTGAGAATGCTTGTCTTGAAGGTGTAAGGGGGAAGATAAAAGAATGTTGTCTATCTCTTGATTGCTTAGAAAGTATTTCCATAGTCAATGATGGTTCAATAGGTAAACTAAGTCCTATAAACCTGAACTTCTTTATGGTTAATACTATTAAGCAAGAATGTAGTACACAATTGGCAAAAGTGTGGATTTGTTTCAATAAACTCAATTTAAAAAGTTTAAAGTTATCATTGTTATTATTTAGGCAGTAGGTTATATTGACTCTAAATAGAAGTAAAATTTTCAACTGCTTTTCAAGAAGTTAAATAGCAACTAATTAATTTACTGTTGTACTCAAAGCCGTTTACGTTTAAGGTGAGAATCTTTGCCAGTAGATTTAAGGTAAGAATCTTTGCCAAGAGAGAGGCGTTGCTCTAAATCGTGAATGGTATTACGAAGAGCTGCAATTTCCTTGTTTTTTTCTTCTTGAAGATGTTGAAGCTTCTAAATGGAGCAGAATTTTTTTGTTATTGCAATGCAGAAATAATAAGATTAAGTGCAAGAACAACAAAACAACAAAGACTATACTTCTAATTTAAGTAGGTATTTAAAAAATGCCTTATTTTGAAAGATCTATAATTTTCTTTTTGTGGGACTTAATGGGGATAAAACTGGTATAGGGATACAAAAACATCTATTAGCACCATTTGTTTTAACTTGTTCCCTTCTCCCAATATATAGCTTGAAATTGTAAACCATAAATAAAAGAGTTGAACAAAAAGAAATCTGAGTCCCTGAATTCCGAGTAGTAAGTAAATTTTAGTTCAAAGTATATTATGGAATTACTTAGATGCTCCAATGAGAGTATTTTGCTAGTGTTTTAATTTACCACTAAAATTCACTCGTTTAAATTGAAAGCGACCTTTAAAGATTATTCAAAATCTAATATCTTTCTAATTGCGATATATTTTAAGAAAAACTGTTAAGTATATCGTTGGTAAATATTAGACAAGTTTTATGGAAACACACTAAGAAAGTTTATTAAGCAACAGTCAAGGAAGAAAACCTCACATACCCTTCTGTAGATACTCTGTGGCAAAACAGTAGAATCTGGATATGATTTTGATTTAGTTTGAACTCTTGCTAGTTTGGCATCAAACTGAATTAAATTTAAAAGAAAGTTATTGAGGACATTCTAGTTAAACAATTAGAAATAATTGTTTCTATACATATAATTCATTATATCCTTTGACATATAATCTGTAATTTAAGTGTATTCTCTGTGTAACAGAAGATAGAAAAGTCTTTAAGAAAGAACAAAGAATACCCAAACAAGATTAACCCTGGCTGCATGTTAGAATTACCTGGGGAGCTTTTTAAAAGTACCAAATACTGGGCACTACCTTAGATATTCTGGGTGAAGTCAGCATCTTCTTTTTCTTAAGACATCAGGTTTTTCTATCATGTGGGGTTAAGAATCTAGCTAGAAGGGTTGAGAATCTAGTTAACTAAAAGATAAAAATATTTTCATGTTACTTTGTACCTCTTTAAAAGTGTAGTGTATCAACAGTCATGGGAGAAAAACTCATATACCCTCTGTACAGACTTTGAGGCTGAATAGTAGAATTTGGATATGATTTGGTTGATTTAGTTTGAACTCTTGCTGGTTTGACATTAAACCAAGTCAGATTAAAAAAAATTTCATAGGCCATTCTTACAGGTCATATTTTTTTTTTGCAAAATCTTCCATATAATTTTCCCTTTCTGGCTGAGTTCAGTGTACCCTCTCTGTGGACTAAGAATAAACTCTCTGTGAGATTGTGGTCTAGTTTGGGTAAAGATAGGGATAATTACAATGAAAATAAATATCAAAAAGAGTTCTGTATGTCAGTCAAACCATACACTTGGGTTACCAGGACCTGGATGGCAAACAAAAGGCACATTTTCAATCAGTAGATTAGAAATTGATGGTAGACTTTGAAACATGGCCTGTTGTACCTCAGTTGGCCATCTAGCACTCTGTGGTTTGTGGTTTCACTTGACCAAAAGGCAGTAGCAGCAGCAAAATGCCTCTAAAATCAACAAAGTCCCCTTTTGCTCAATGATTATGCAGTCTTCAACCTTGTGTACCTCGCCAAGAACCCCAGGGTTACCAAACTTTCAGGAACATGAAAAGTAAGTTATCTTAACTAAGCCTGTGTATTCTGATAACATAAGGTAAAGTGGGAGTCAGGTCTGGGGGAAAGTGATAAAATAATGATGAAAGGGAGGCTGGTAAAACCTAGAAAATAATTTAAAGGACAAATATATTGTCAAAATTGCAATATCTTTGAGATTTTGACATCTGGTTAAACAACCTACTGAAAAGGTTTTCCAGCCAAGAACTGAAACCTTTGAGATGCCCTATTTGAATTCACTTGAAAAAAATTTTTTAAATATCTGGTTTGTCTGTCCCTCTGATATATATTTTTCTACGTATTTATTAGGAAGAAATTTGTCTCTTTTTATTCTAAATAAAGAAAAAGGAATTTCTAGTTGGTTCACCAGGATTCCACAATTTCTGCTGAGCAGAGAGTAATGTTAAGGATTAGAAACACTCTCCCCACAGCTGGAATGGTAATCCTGTGACTGTCTGCATAGGCTCAGCTGTAAAATACAAGTCCCTGAATTACTTGACCCCTGTTCTCAGAGGAAACAATACCCTCTCCGGAAACCAAGACCTTTTGAGTGACTGAAGAGTCCCACCTTCAGGCCAAGAGCTGAAAGTCAGTGTAAGCTAACAGTTGTACCGGGTTTGAGCATTGTATGTGATGGAGAATGAGTTTGAGTGAAGCCCTCTCACAGAGGTGTTTTTATTCCTGAAATTTATCTCACCGTGATGAAAAATAACCAAAGTATGGTCGAGACTAAGGGATGCATCCTCAAATTTAGCAGAATCTTAAATATTCACCTCTAGCTGTAGTTTGATGATTTCATTCTGTTTTTCCTTTTCTTGAGTTCTTAACTTTTCATTTAACTCTGAAATTTCCACTTCTTTTTTCTCTATCAGTACTTTATTCTTTTCTTCATTTAATTCAACTGAATAAAACAGAAACAAATAAAATCAATTTGCCTTAACATGTTAAAACTCTTATAAGCTTATATTTCTTTAGTATTTTAAATAAGCCAAAAGAAAGTAAATTTTATTGGTCAAAACATATAGTATTTTAGAAATTGTTTATGTGCAGGGTAGCTTTTAGATATTTTTGACAAGCCCCTAGAGAATAAATAGATTTAGTGGTTAAAGAAGGATACAAAGCCTAGGTTCCTAGGTATGGAAGACCCCAAATTACCGGAGGACTCTAGAGCTACATCAAGTACCTGCTATACTCTATTCAATATAATTAGGCCTCTCTGATATTCATACTATGTCTTTATGCTTCATCAAACTTTCTCTTCTCTCAATTTCCTTATTACTGTAATTGACACCATATCATCTAGGATAAAAGCCTCAAGGAAATCTTTGATTTTAAGAAGAAAAAAGTCAATTAGTTTATGACAAGCCCCCCAAATAATAACTCAATCCCTAACTAATCTACTATTTACTTAGTTTCGGGCCTCATTTTTCCTCAGCTGGACTTTGTCTAGACTATCGCCTGTCTCTACCCCACTAAATACTGTTGCTAGGTTAGTCTTCTTAAAGCATACCTCCAAGTATGGCCATCACTTTCTCAAAAACCTTCGATCACTTCCCATTTTTTTAGCCTGGCAATTCAAGAAGTCAAAGAATCCGGCACTAGCCACAGTTTTTGGCCTTTCTCTTTCTAAACCTTTCTGTGTAGTGCAAAGAAAAGCTGGAATATGGACTATTATTCCGTAGCATGCCCATGTCTCCCCCTCTGTGTATCTTGGCTTTTATTTTCTCTTTGTCTAGAGGATATTTTTCCCATCTTCACCAATCAACCTTACCCATATTCAAGATATAGGAGCAGGGCCTAGCACTAAGGTCCCATCTTAGCCTGGGATGAGGTAAAGTCCAGAAGGATATATTTAGCTATCCAAAAACCTTAGAAATATAGATCTACATCTGGACTCAGTCTGTATCCATTATGTGTCTGGAGGTAGCACTATTGAAGATATGAATGCAGAGAAGTTGTGATTAAAACAGAACTAAAGCACTGAAATGGATCCATCTTCAGATACTATATTAGAGGACAGGAATATAATTTTCTTTATCATAATTCCCCTTAAAGGTCTTGTTGTTAAGATTATGTTGGCCTTATAAAATGAACTAGAGAATGTTTCCTCTCTTTTTGTATTAATCCTCTGAAAGAGTCTGTGTAAGATTGGCATTATTTTTCTAGAAGTATTTGGTAGAATTTCACCAGGAAAGCCATCTGAGCCTGGAATTTTCTTTATGAGAAAAATGTTTGTAATAGACTTAATTTCTTTAATAGACATAGAACAATTCAGATTTTTTTTCTTGTGTGTTTTTTCCCTCGACAATGTCTAATTCATCAAAAACTTCAAATTTATTGCCACAAAGGTATTCATTATGCAGTTAATTATGGAGGTCATTCACTTTTTAAAGTCTGAAGTGCTTTTTTATTCCTGATATTGATTATTTTTACTTTATCCACTTTTCTTGATTAGTCTTGGTGGGAGTTAATCAATTTTATTAGTCTTTTCAAAAAATTTTGGATCTGATTCTCTTTATTATGTATATGTTTGTAATTTCATTAATATCTGACTTCCTTCTTTCTAATTTCTTTGGGCTTAATTTGATTTTTTTCTTCTAACCTCTCGATATAGGTATTTAGGTAATTGACTTTTCACATTTTCCAACATGTGTATTTAAGGCTATAAATTTACCCATAAACACAGCTTTATCATTGCCCCACAGTTTTGATATGTAGTCTAGGTAATTCATTTCAAAATCTTTTCTAACTTCCTTTAGGATTTCTACTTTGATCCACAGGTTATTTATAAATAATTTATAAACATATAGGAATTTTCTATATGTCCCCTGCTTCTTAGAGGACCCAAAGAAGTTGCAAAATTCTTTTCTAAAGTAGCTATATAATTTTATAGTCCCACCAGTAAGGTATCAGAGTTCCAGTACTTCCATATCCTTATCAACACTTGTTATTGATAGTTTTTAAGATTTTATCAGTTCTAAGGGGCTCAAAGTGGTATCTCATGGTTTTAAGCTGCATTTTCCTACTCACTAATTACGCTGAACATTTTTTCATGTGCTTATTTTCCATCTGTATATCTCAAGGGAAGTGTCCAAATATTTTACTCATTTCCTTGTTAGGTTGTTTGACTTCTATTATTAAGTTGTTAGAGTTCTTTTATATTTGGATATAAGTTCTTTATCAGATAGGTATTTGCCGGTATTATCTCCCAGCCTGTGGCCTGTCTTTTCATTTTCTTAATAGTGTTGAAGGACAGAAGTTAATAATTTTGGTAAAGTTCAATTTAGAACTTTTTTTCTAATAAGGAAAAAAATGTTTTGTGCTTTTTGTTACTTTCCAAGAAATTGTGCCTAACTCAAGGTCACAAAGATTATCCTCTTTGCATTCTTTTAGCAGTTTTATAGATGTGGCTTTCCATTTAGACCAGTCATCCATTTTAAGTTGATTTTTGCATATGATATACATAAATACAGTCTCATTAAAAAAGGTTTTTAATATCCTTCTGAAACTAGTTAACTCTCAACATAAGTTCAGGTCCACTTTACTGAAGAAAGAAAATTTCATTAGTGAAATGATATTCAATATGCTGAGTATATACATATCAAAGTTAATTATACATTTTATATTAATTTTATAAGGACATCGACTATTTCATATTAAATAATATGAAGTGCAAACATTATGAATCCAATTTAGAAATGTTGTAATTTATGTCACATCAATATTTAGAAAAGTAAAAAACCTAAATTAAAAGGTGTTAAGGTAGTGTTCATTCAAGAATACTGGCTATTACTGAAAAAAGTTTATATATGCATTTAATTTATGATATCTTAGAATTCAGTAAATTAAAAATACTTACCTTTTTTCTGCATATCCTGATAAAGTTTCCTTATTTCTATCTTATGTCCCTCCTCTTTGATTTTCATTTCACTCATAAGTTTGGCAATAGTACTCTTATATTCCTAAAGATTAAAAAAAATATTCATTCTTTGGTTTAAAGATATGTACACAATTTTTTAAATTAGAAGGTAAATTTTTCTAATTTTATATGTAATCATAGTTTTTTTATATGTAATCATAGTTAGAAGGGAAAGATATTGTTATTTGAATAATCAGCTTTGAGAAGGATCAATTTCTGGTCCAAGGAGATAAATACCATTGAGAGACAATGTCTTTTATCTTTTTTTTCTAAATACTCATCACCAGTGTTTAGCATATCATAGATGCTTAAAATATTTTGCTTAATTGTATGAATAAATGCCATGACAACAGTAAAATACGTCCAATCAAAGCCAAAGTTATACTTTAGAGCTAACAGTAGGCATTGTTCAATAGCCAGTAAGCTTACCCTAATGCAGGATGAACCTCTTTGAATGTGGGCTGAACTTCTGTTTCTGAAAATTATATAAACATCTCTAATTCTCAGAAGGAAGTTAAGCACTACCCATGTTAAGGGTTAGCTGTATGAGAGGCTAGAAAAGGATGGATTTGGGATTTGAAAAGTGCTCAGCAGGTGCCTGAGATTAGCTTCTTCGATTGTTGAAGCATGGAAGTGACTTATGTTAATATGGAGAGGGACATTGAGAGAGAAAAGTCTCCAAAGATAAAATTTACAATTTTACCAGTGGTATGCTCTTACATAAAGAAATCACTCACAGGCAGAAGAAAAGAAAAGCAGGAAGAATAGTGAAGTATGATAGTAAAAAAGAGACTAATGAAGGCAAGAGGTCAAGAAAAGCCTCTAAACGCAAAGGTAGAAACTTTGTTTTTAATCACTGTTGTATTCCCCACTCCTAGGGTATATCTCTTGATATATATTTGTTGAATAAATGAGTGCCAATAAGAATTATTTAAGTCAGAAGTTCTTAGCTTAGACTCAGTGAATGGGCTTTCAAGGATCCATTAACTTCCTGAAATTGTATGCAAAATTATACATGCGTGTGTACCCTTGAACATTTTTCTCAGAGAGAGTTCACAGCTTTTAGTAGATATTTGGTGGTACTGAGGAAGTAAAAAGAAAGTCAAGATATATTGGCTTGAATGGCTATAACTAAATATGGAGATGCGTTCATCCAGATTACATAAATTCAAAGGGATATAGTCTAGATTCCTACTTGCACTACGTATCCTGCCAGGCAACTTTCAAGAATAGCCAAATCTATCCAACCATTGGCTTTGATTAAAGCTTAGCAGGTAAATGTAGGGGTGAATCTCATAAATCTCCATTTTTCATTTGAATGTGTCTAAATTACTAAATGGGCAATTACTGACTCAACTGGTTGCTCTAAGCACTTGCTGCTCTAAGGAAAAATAAAAGACAAATTTATCTATCTTTTCATTCCTCATTGACTTTGCCACCTGAAGATGCCGCCACTAAAGTGGAATGCTTCCGTTAATTTGGTAAGACTCAGAATTTTCACTCCAATCTTCAGGCATGAAGACTATCTTAATGTCTGGGCTGGGGCCAGGCAGTATCTCACTAGGTTCTTCTCCCTCACTTTAGCTTGTATGAGCCCTAATCCCTCCATTCTAAAGGGAACGAGTCCCAATAAGTTCTTCTTGGTGCTTTCTTTCCATTTGCCTCCTTGGGAACTTTAAATGCCAAGGAATAGCTTCTGGCTATTGTATTTTTGTTATTAGAAAACTTAAGGATTCTCTGTCAACAAATTAAAAAACCTCTCCCAGTCTCATAAATATGACCATTAGGTACCTCCTGAGTTTCTTTCTAGGCAGTGTGGTTCTCCACATGTTTTGGATGTGCCTGGAGTTTTGTACTAGAGAATTTTCATTGGATTGAGGTCATCTTGAGTTTGCCTTGGACAGCAGCTAATTAAGATGTTCCAAATCTTGGGTTGTGGTGTTTTCTCACTAATTTCCACCATCCTGAAAATTCCTATGGTATTCTAAACAAAGCAATGTTTTATGGCTTGACATTTTAGAAGAAAAAGTAGGCAAAAATGTCTTCCCCTTCTCTCTGCCTAAATTACACCCTGATTTCATCTACTGTTAGTTCTAGAGGCAACATATGGAAAGGATAGGAAAGAGTAAAAGAAAGGGGTAAAGAAAAAGAAAAAAAGGTGGGATACATTCCGGAGATATTTAAATTATCTCAAAATTGGTGATGAGAAGCTACCTTTTTCAAGAGCACAGACTGACATTATGCATACTCCTGAGAATTACCCAGAAGCCCTCGTAGGGTTTTTGAATTAGTTTGTGTTTCTTTAGAAGTTCTTCAAGTGAGAAATCAGATTAAATTTAGAGGTTATCCTTCAGGCTGAAGTTCTAAGCTTGATAAAGATCAAACCTGAGTTTTGGAAATCTTAGGTCTGCTAAAGTTTGACATATTGGCTCTTGAAAGATGAGAAAAATTAGCATAATAAACCTCTCAAAGGGTAGAGAAGTGGGAACTGACATTTACTGAGCACCTTTTATGTGCTAGTAACAGTGTTACATGTTTTATAATTGCTATCACTATGTTGTTCTTAAAGAAGAAAAGAAAAAGTCGCAGAGGGTATGGTGGCCCTTGGGAAGAGAATTAATTGGTGATGCACATAAAATGCTCCTTTCATTTAGATTGTTCAATACAATTGCAAGAGATTACTCAAATCATAAAGATTAAAGAGTGATTTACTTTATAGTAAAAAAAAAGTTTAAAAGTACTAATTAATAGAGTATACTCTAGAGTAAAAACTATTAACATAATAAAAATATGTAGCAAAATAGTTGCATCTTTTTTTGGCAGAAAGAAAAAGTACAAGTGATATATTAGTGCATTATAGTCTGCAAAAGTACTAGGGCTCTCAAAATTTCTATTTATCAAAAATTCTGGCACACACATATATTTACTCTATAAATTTTGGCTGTCTTTATTAAAGAAAACAACTGCTTTTTTTTCTAATTCGTAAAGATAAATGCTCTACAGGGAGGGATTTCATTGATATAAAGATACATAAACTCACCTGTTCATGAGATTTTAACTTTTCTTTCATAATATCAGCATTTCTTTTTAGTTGTTCATTTTCACCTGTGTAAAAATCATCAAAGAGCATCCCAATATATAGCACTTTTCAATTAATATGGGAATGTTTAACATTTCAAGTTTTCATTCATGTATGCATTCAACACATGCAAACAGCATCTACTACATGTCTACTACACGTGCACAGAGTGCACGACTGTGGCAATATTGAAACATAAAAAATTATTGCTTTTCAAAGAACTTACAGCCTCTTGATGAGACAGATGTGGAGGTAGTTATGATGTTATGATAATTGCTCTGTCATGGGAGTGTGTCTGAAACAGCATGGATACTTGTGGATGTAAGGCCTAAGTCAGGCTGAAGTCAGGAAAGGGTGTTCAGAAGAGGAACCACTTGGGCAGAGACTTAAATGATAAGGCTTATTACCCCATGTTGGAGGAGGGCATTTCAGATACAGAAAACTGTACAGAAGACTTTGGGCTCGAGTGAGTATAGCAAATTTGGGGAAATTACAATTCAAGTACCATATTGTTGGGGCTTAAACTGTGAGGAGGATGTGCTAAATAGGTTGGGGCCATAATAGGAGGTAGGCATATTCTGTGTGAATTATTTTAAATTTAATTTTATATGTTATAGAGTCATTAAAGAATTTTGAACAGTGTAGTGAAATGATTAGTTATATATGTTAAAAACATTATCTGGCAGTGCAGAGGATGAATGGAAGGGTTTTGACTCTAGAAGAATGGATATCAGTAAAGATACATTAAGTAAGAAATAATAGGAGCCTGAATTAGGCCAGTGGCAGTAGGAGACAAATGGAAAATGAAAATAACTAAATGATAAAATTACCAGAGGACTTAGTGACTGACTGGATAGCAGAGGCAAAAGAGAAAGGGGAAACTTTGCTTTCTAGGTTTCTGGTTTGGGTAACTGAAAAATCTTCAACAGTTTGGGAAAAATTAAAAGGGAAAGATTTTTAGGAGTGAAATAATGAATCTAGCTAGATCTTTATGATGCTAAATTTGAAATGGTAGAGATATCCAGGGGAACATATCTGGTAGGCCAAGAAACATTTAGGAGTGGCCAAAGGAAGAAGAAGACTTCCTTCAATCCTATGAAGAAGACTGAGAAGTATCCAGAGATGCAGGAGAGGGTGGTATTAAGAAAACAGAGGTTAAAGGGGTTATAATCAATGGCAATACATGCAATAAAAAAGATCAAGTGAAAGAACTTTGAATTAAAACTTTGGGAGATATCCAATTGTTTTAGTTGAAGACTAAGTGAAGGTGAGAAAATGGGGGTATTGAGCACACTATTATTCA